ACATTGGGTTTGGGTTTTTGAGGCAGCTGGAAAGGTGAAGGAGATAACGCCATATATACCCCGAGAGCGGCTTACTCCGCCTATACCAAGTGCGATATATGAGAGTATTTTGGCACATTGGCTACGAGAAGATAGAGTAGTTTTCCAACGACTACTATTAGAGGATTGGGGAGTAGACAAGGGATTATTTGACCTTGATATGGTTGCTGATCTTGTTCGCCGGCGTGTGAAAGGGGATGAAGAAGAGCTTGAAGACATCCGGCAGCAGTGGCAATACACTTACCATGGGTGGAAATTGAGTAGCAGAGGCAAAAAGAAGGAGGAGGATGAAGATTCCAAGAAGGAAACTCAAATTGAAGAGGGTTGGCGTTTGCTTCAGCTTTGCCTCGCAAAACTTTATATGGCTATGAAACATCCTAGGGAAGCTTTGGGATGCTATATGCGTTTAAAGGCAGAGCCCGAGGTGATGAGTCTGATCAAGGAATACTATCTCCTTGACGCGGTCAAAGATAATATTGCCAACCTTCTCATGCTCAAGATCACTCGAGATCAACTCAAAACAGCACCACTAGATGAGCTCAAAGAGCTTACAGCATCAGCCGTCGACCTACTCGTTGCTGAGGCGGGACATGGAATTGTTGGGCCTGATAGGGTTGTACAACAGCTCGATGAGGCTCCTGAAATGGAGGATGGTGGCCGTGTTCTCCTTTTCTTTTACCTTCGAAAACTCTGGGAAGATGATCGGCAATTGGTTGAAGAGAGCTGGGCGGATCTAGCAATCCAGCTGTGGGCGGAGTACGATCGTCCCCTTCTCATGGAGTTTTTGAAGTCGTCTCAAGGTTATTCGCTTGATAAAGCCGCGCAGATTTGCGAAGCGCGAAATTATATCCCCGAGTTGGTGCACCTTCTCAGTAAGACTGGGCAAAATAAGAGAGCCCTGTATCTCATTATTGATAGGCTCCAAGATGTAGCACAAGCCATTGCGTTTGCCAAGCAGCAAGATGAAAAAGAGCTATGGGATGATTTAATATCCTATTCAATGGACAAGCCCGACTTTGTGCGGGGCTTGCTAGAGAATGTGGGGGTATCATCGGGAGGTAGCAGAGGGGGGATGGAAGTTGTAAAGCTGGTGAGGGGAATCCCGGAGGGATTGAAGGTGGTGGGATTGAAGGGAGCGATACAGAAGGTATTGAGAGAGTATGCGGTACAGTGGAGTGTGGCAGAGGGAGTAGCGAGAGTCTTGAGAGCGGAGGTGCATGGCAGGATGGATGAATTAAAGATGAGAAGTAGGAGGGGGGTTAAGTTCGAGGTGGGAATCGAACAGGCAATGCCGGGCGCCTTTGAACCGGAAACTGGATCGAAGGGTGCGGTATGCTCTAGGTGTCACCGTCAATTTGGTTTTCATGGTAAGTTCACTTCTTGAAGTCACCACTTTTCATCTCTAATGCATACTAAATCTTGTCTGCTCTACAGAGAAAGATACCCTTCTATCATTCCATTGTGGACACATTTTCCATCTTGAATGTCTCCTTACCACGGCGGTCCTTGATACTGACGGGGAAGGAACAACCCCTCCCACTGAAATCCAAGATGACGTGGAAGATGTCTTGCTCAATACCGAAACACTAACCAGCGCAAGGAGTGTAGGAACAAAGGTTACTCATGCAGCACTCCTCAAAGAGAAGCTTGCAGCCACTGGTGGTGGTGGGAAATGCACTGTTTGCCAGCGGAAGAAGAAGGAAGAGGAGGTTGAGAACCTTGAGGAGATGGTATAAAGCCTGGCGAGATTGTTTAATATTTTGTTACAGCGCATATGGCCCTAGGAGTGTTGGAAATTTTGATTCACTTCTTTTGTGCCCTCATTTGTTAGTTTCTTGTATCCCTCTTTTCCCGTTATAATGACTGATGACATGAGCCCATGAGTGGGAATATTAGTGTTTTTGAGTGTACAAGACTGTACTTTACCTTACAAATGGCTAGCTACTAAATAATAATGAGATAAAGGGAGATTGTACTGCGCGGAAGTAGGAATCATTTGAGGAGATTGACGTATTCCATTGGTCTCGTTTTCCATGATGGTGGAGGGGAGAACTAATCTGGCTAGACAGGAAGGTAGCAAAACGCAAATATTAATAATTCTAGACCAATCTTGTCGAGGCGCCCTCTTTACCTCTCACCGCAGTCCTTTGGACATTCCCATGTTTCTTCCAGCACTCGCGGAACGCTGTCATCTACATGAACATACAATCCTGTAAGCTATTGCACCCACCATTCATTCTTCTAAAATTGAAAACCTAATTGCCGGGGGCCGGGTTCCTAGATCCAAATCACTGGTAGTACGCACTTCATCTGAACATTTTCTCCAATCCTTCTTCTCATAATAGCAGTCCGTGAGTCTCATATTCTCCGCTATAGATATTCATAGTCAGCCTCTCAATTCAACTCGAGAACTGAAAATGTAGAGTACGGACCAGCACACCCGGTATCGTTTATCCGTTTGTCCCTATTTCACCCGCAAGTAAATATGGGACGAGCAGAAAATCTAAACGAGTTTGGTGATATAACGTACCACTCGTCGGGCTCATCATCACCAACCTCAGCCTGAGATTTTGACACTTTTGGATCCGTCATTTGCAAGTCTATGGTGGAGAACACGGACGTCCCAGCTATTTAGTGCAACCAGACTAGGCTTATCGGTTGGTTGACGACGTGTTATGCGGCGATAGAGCTGAAACTCTGAGTTCAGTTGACACGCTAGCTTGGTATGATCCACATTAGTCTGGTTGGCTCCAAAGTGGCCTCGATTCCTCCAAAGGAGGAATCCAGATCATACAAATAAATAATAGGCCGATCCCGACTGAGTGGTCTGTCCGACTTTTGCTGTACAAACAGGCGCAACGCGTCAGCTTCAGTTAACGACGATCTTTCAAGCAAATGTACCTGCATGCGTGGGCAGCACAGGGCTGGTGGAGCTAGCATGAAATACCAGGCCAAGTGGAAGTCGCAGTATGTGACCGGTTGGCATGTCGCCACCTATGAAGGTGGTGGAAATGGGAGTAGGGGAAGCAGAAGCCGTATGTCTAGTCTCGAAACCGCCGTGTGTCAAGTTATTTTCTCCGCTCAGGAACTGGTGGTGGATCACTTTATTCTCCGGCTCTTTTCTACCCGAATAGATCCTCTGGATCTGAGGTTTCTCTTCGTTCTGCGAGAGGTTTGTCGTTGTCTTGGGACTTTGACAGTTCTTTGGTCGAGAGATATACGTACCGATCGTGATACCAGCGAGTGGGCTGACAGCTGCCAGCAGTATCTCCCTCTTACTTTCTGTCCTACGGGCTTTCTTGAATCTTTCTTTCTTTTATTGTCGTCTTTGTATTTGGCGTTGAGAACCTGAAGTACCACGGCTCTGTGAACCAGTTCAGCCTTCGAAAGTGTCTAGAATGTTTTTCCTTCCATTACGAATCTTCCTCCTTGTTTCTATCCTCTTTTCACCCATAAGTACCCTTGCACAAAACGACAACTCCTCCCCGCTACAAGGCATTTTCCCTCCCCTCACCCCATTCATCAATTATGGCAACCTCATCATCGCCTACGAGTCCTCCAGATTCATCCTCCAAGGCAATACAAACAGCGGAGTAGAAGCTACTCCCAATGACACCTCCACGGCCCCCAAGGCCATCTCCATCACACCCTTTGGAGGCTACGGCAACCCCTTCCTCCCTATCAACACAACCCAGCTCTACACCCTCGTCATGATCGACCCGGATACACCTTCACTAGCGAATCCCACCACATCGCAAATCTTGCATTTCGTCCAGACGGGACTGAGAATTACTATTAGTCTTGCGAAAACGTCAGAGTCAATGGGCCTTAGATTAACGGCTACAGTTCCACCAGTGGTTCCCTATCGTGGACCAGCTCCTCCGGTGGATACGGGGTTGCATAGATATATTTTCTTGCTATTCATGCAGCCGGATGATAATATCGACTTAGGCAGCTTCTCAGCAGACAACAGGAGGAACTTTGACGTGCAGAACTTCGCGAGGAATAACACCTTTGGGCCGCCGCTCGCCGGGGCATACTTCCAAGCGCAGAATGCAGCAAATAGTGGTAATAACACCGTGCCAGAAAAGGGTACCACAATGGAAGAATTTATGGTCTATGACCCCGCCGTCGACGGCCCACTTGTCATCGATACCAGCATCCCTACCCCACCCGCCTGGCAGACCAGTGACCCATATCCCATAGCGACTGAGATCGAGATTCCCTACAAGGTAACATTTACATATTCTTTCCCCTCAATAACGGTCTCCGTGGAGCTTCCAGGGCAGATTGGAGACTGGACGATGACTGCTCCGGCGGTAGGCCCAATAACGGTCTCCATGGATCTTCCGAGCAAGATTAGGGATTGGACGATGACTACTTCTGGGCGGATGAGTGAGGAGGTGACTGTAACTACTACCACAGAGGCACCGGTACCGACATTGGAGGTGGATACGTCGAGTGTTCTGACGCTGAGGAGGGGTAGTGATAATAGTGCTTCTATTGTGGGGATACCGCAGGCGGGAACGGAGGGGCCGAGTACGAAAACGCCAAGTTGGTTGGATGGTCCAATCCTTGACAACAGCGCTGTTCGAAAGTCGGCGGGAGTAACAATATTGGTGGGAATATTGGCAGGAGGAACGGTATATCTTACATCCATACTATAGTTATAAGACAACAATTGTCTTCTGCAGCAATCCCAAGACTAAATCCGCAATTTCAATTGTACATCACTTATCATTTCTTTATCAATTTTCTTTTTTTTCTTTCACAGGCGTCTATGGGTTACTGCTGTTATCTATACTTTTGCTCTCCTACTTTTATTTTTCCTGTTCATATTCTTTTTATTTTATTTTTCCCCAGTCGGTCAATCTCTCAGAGAGGGTTTTTAAAGAAGGAATCTCGAGAATCAACTGTTCACAATTATCATATGTATATCTATAGTAGAACGCTATCATCCAGCCTGGTTAGCTCAGTCGGTAGAGCGTGTGGCTTTTAAGGAATGAACTGTTCCCACGAAACCTCAAAGTCACGGGTTCGAGCCCCGTATCAGGCTTTCTTTTGGGATTTTTTTCCAGTTGTTTATTAAAACTATATTTCTTGGTGTAACATCAATATGAATATGCAAGGGAAACAAACATGCGGACCATGCCCCTTGAATTAGTATAGATGTTCCTCAAGACTAGTCTGGTTGGCACACGCCCCTCGTAACCAGACTACCTAGACTACCGGTACCCCTCGCACTCTCTACGAGAGGTTGTGCAACCAGACTACCCCAATACTTAGTCTGGTTGCCCCAATACGTTAGTGAGGCGGGGCTGTTTTGCCAACCAGACTATGTACCAATACGTAGTCCCTTCGTCGGCGGGTCGTACAACCAGACTACTCAATACGATATGTAGTCTGGTTGGCACAAGCCCCTCGTAACAACGACCTCTGACTTCACACCCACATCCAGATTATTTTTTCAAATTCTGCTCAGTGGTAACTAATGTAAGCAAGCTACCGTTTTGGTACCTCTATCTATCACTTTCGCCCCCAATATAAGCCTGGTTAGCTCAGTTGGTAGAGCGTGTGGCTTTTAAAGAATGACTGATTTGCTCATTCTATGGAAAACCTCAAAGTCACGGGTTCGAGCCCCGTATCAGGCTTACTTTTAATCTATCAAGTGCTCGTATTTGGTTTTAACTTTGGAAGTTTTTCCCAAGTCGGATTGGCTCAGGAGAATTTATGCAACGGGCGATTAGGTGCCGGTTTCAGAATTTTCATGCGGGAAGTACAATATGCAGACTGCGGATCTGGTTAGGAAGATACAATAAACATCGTTGTACAAGACTTGCGGGATATTTGATGCCGCAGGAAGGGCTGAGGAGTGAGGAGTGAAGAATGGGGAGTAGATTGTTCAGTGATTAATCAATATACATAAGCCTTAGAAAAATTATGTATGTATTTCCTAGTCTCATGCCAAGACCCTACTGCTTAGAGTTCTGTGTATTTCCGAAAGGGGTCTGGAAGTTTGGTGTTTGCGCTCCCCAATATTCAGCGGGACGCACATGCGGCTTGGCAATGTATAGAGGAGAAGATCTCTTGCGTTGCTCGGGTTACGTATGCACTTTGTTCAATGTGTGGGTGTTTACCCCTCCTATGCGGCCCCGCTTCTTGTAGGGAGATTTTTTTTTTTTTTTTTTTAAATTCAATACTCGCGTAAAGCGGAGCCATGGCGAGGTTCAGACGGGCCTAACGCCCTAAGCCCCCTGTCCCGGGGGCAGAACTAAATACAACCCAAAATGATAGAAAAAATTTTCCCCATCCGAGATCCCCCAGACTATACCCCTAAATCCTGTTCCCCAATCACATCGATCGAAGATCAGAGAAAAAGGTTTCTGCTAAGTCAACGAGGGTGTCCTCCCCGTTCACTGTCCCTCCCCTCCTGATTAAATCAGGAGAATCGACCTCCTCCCACGAACTGAAATTCCTCCCTATCCACTCGCCCTCTATACACACTAGGGCTACGTGATCCCCTGTCTCATCATACTTTCCGCAAGCGCGGCAAGAGATGTCCGCGTCCCCTATCCCCAGTTTCTGCTTCCAGACGGCGAGGTCACCCTTGCCACTTCGACACCGGGAATAATTCACTACCGCTTTCCTGTTCCATCGAATAACTCTACCCATACCGAAGCCCTTCACTTTCCTCTCCCGGCGACATCGCGCTTTGTACCATTGTCTCACCCCTCCTTCAGTTATGATATTATCGCCCCTCCGAGTGGCCCCTTCTTTTGCCAGCCGATCTGCCTTCTCATTCCCTTTAACTCCTACATGAGCTTTAACCCAGGCGAGGTGTACTTTGGTCGTGGCCTCAGATAACCCACTCATGACGCGAGCCATATCCGCTGTCCTGGCTTTTCCACGCTTTCCAGCCTTGACGATGGATTTTATGGCCGCTTGAGAGTCGGTCAGGATCAGGACCTCCTTTTCCCCACTCAGCCTAGTCACTGCGTCTCGAATACCTCTCAACTCTCCGTCCCATACTGTCGCCGCGCACCCTAGTCCCCCAACCACTTCCACGACGTCATTGCAGCATCCGCTCCCTACTCCTCCCTCCTCATTCTTACTACCATCCGTGTACCACACTTCTCTTCCTACTCCATGAAACCTGATTTCTTCCTCCCACCTTTCCACCCCGCTATCCGCCGTCGCCCCTAGGTCCACAACCGAAATTTGCTGTCGGGGGGTCCCTTTCCCGTAAGACAAGGTTCCTCCGGCATCACCAGTCGTAGCCAGGGCCCTTCCTACTAAGATCCCCGCGAGCGAGGTATCTCCATCCTGAGCCCCCTCCGGCATGAGGTCTCCCAACGACTCGGGATCACCCATGATTCTCGCAATCATCCTACCCTGGCACGCGTCCAGGGCCGTCCGTGGTGATTCCACCCCCGCAATCTTAAATACCGTTTCCCTCCTCGCTCCCCTCACCGCCCCTGTACACTTCCTCAAAGCCTGATACTGCAACTTAACCATTTCTTCCTCCCAATCCTTCTGGCCCCGCCATCCTAGTTCAGCTCCCCACAGTGCGATCGCCCTCACAGAGCCTGTGAACAATTGTTTCCAGCTCGTCGGTGAGATACCCCACTGTGAGTTACCAATTCCTCCACACTTGGCCAAAAATTTTCTTGCTTTTTCAATCCTCGACCTCCAGTGCCTCTCAAAGGAGAGACTCTCATCTAGGATTATCCCAAGCCATTTCACCCATTTTACCTCTTTCTTCTTCTTTCTCTTTTTCTCCCGGAGAATCAAGCTCTCTTGCTTCGATTTTTCCAGGGGTAGACCCTTCGCAGCCGCGACCTCGTCCACTATCCTCTCCATTTTCCATACCAGAAAACCTATATTCTGTCTTTTCAACTCATCCTCCCCGTCCACGAAGATGCCCCCATTGATATCATCAACGAAAGATGGGAATTCCGCGGAATGATGGACCTCTGCCCGGGTTCTTCTTTCCATTTCCCCTATAATCGGAGCCATCCATATCAAGAATATCACCGGGGATAACGGCGATCCTTGTGGACATCCCACATTCGTTCTCCCCGTTCCCCTCACCTTTCCATCCCATTCCAACTCAAATTCTCTCGCTCTGAAAAAACACCCGACCCACTTGATCCACTTCCGTCCTTCATCACTTTCACGTAATCTCTCCAGCACCTCCTTCTCTCTCGTGTTCTGGAATCCTCCCTTTACATCCCAGAAACCCAAGCCTACGTTTCCCTTCCCTCCTAAACACCTCTGTGCTCTTATCATTACCCTCGCCACTGCATCAATTGCCGACTTGCCTTTAACTCCTCCAAACTGCCCTTTGTGGAATAGGCCAGCCTCTTGCAGTCTTCCCGCCACCACTTTCTCCCCAAGCTTCCCCAAACAATTTATCAAATTAATCGGTCGCCATCCCTTGGTTACCGTGTGGTCTTTCCCCGGTTTCGGAATCATGACAACTTTTGCGAATTGCCACTCCCTAGGCACCTCACCACGGACCAAGCTATCGACCACTGCCTCTAACAGTCCTTCTCCTAAAGGGGTCCCCATGACCAGTTTAATCAACCTATACCCGATGCCATCAGGGCCCGGGGCTGACTTATTCTTGGTACCCCCCAAAGCCACTTTCACTTCTTCCCTCAACAGCGTTCTCTCCGCTTCCAAGTTTACCGAATCGATCTCCGCTTCCTCCCCCATCATCCTGCCTTGTCCATCCCACCCAAAATGGTCTTTCACCAGACCTGCACATTTCTGGCTATCTCCCTCCAAATTTTCTCCACTAGAATCCTTCAGGGTGCCCATGGATTCCTTCAACCTGTACGGATCCTTTGCCCACCGTACGATTTCCCACGGGTTCTTTTCACCATTTTCTTCACAGAACGCTTCCCAGCATCTCTGTTTCTTTTCCCGGATCATCCTCTTCAACTCCCTCTGTTCACGCTTCCATCTCTCAACGCGCTCCCTTTGGCTCGATCTCGCACCCTCTCCCACTCCTCCCCTGCGCTCGTGTCGAACGCGTTGCAACTGTTCTCCCAGCTCCTCGTCCCACCACCTCTTAGACCTCTGGCACACGAAAGATTCCACCAGAAATTGCTCCCTCAAGCTCCTGAGCTTCTCGTACATTGAGGTGCCTGGCAGTCTTTCCACCCATGCTGCAACCTCTCGATGTCCTCTCTCTTTAATCTCTCCTACCTCACGCACCAAGCGTTTCCAATCAATTCTCCAGATCTTTCTGCCTGATCCTTCACACATGGAATCAACCTCGAAGAGCAAACAAAAATGATCAGACGCCAACTTTTCCTTCCCAAGACCTCCATCCAAGCGAGATACCCCGATGCCTTTCGCGAACACCAGATCGATCGTGCTTCGCCGCCAGGCGCCGTCTACCAATCTTTCCCACGTTGGGCCTTCGATTTCCAATCTTTCCAGACCTTCCTCGACAACGAACTCCGCCAGCTCCGTCCCTCTTACATTCGCTACCTTCTCCGGGTCCCACATCTCGTGGCACGCATTGAAGTCTCCACACCACACCACCTTATTCTTTCTAGTCCTTGCCCACACACTAGAAATCCACCTTTCCAATTTCCCTGCCGACCAGGAACTATTCCCGTAGACTCCCAGGATTTCCACCCCTCCCACTCTCACCCCGACTACCCTATCCTCATTTAAGAACACCATAGGCTCAGGGGACAAGCCATCCTTCCAATATACTGCCACCTTAGACTTTTTCCCCAACACATTTCCTAACTTCAGACCTGGCCTTCTTGTAGGGAGAGCTTAAGCTGTAACAAAGGATAACTCGGGCCCTTTTTTTTTTTTTTTTTTATTTCAATACTCGCATAAGGCATAACCACGGCGAGGTAACTCGGGCCCTTCAGATCCAGGAGTGACGTGTTTGGCATGGGCCGCGTTCTATTGAGATCCCGCTCTCGTGGTCGTGATGCATGATCATCGTGCCAGCCCCGTTCGTGCACAGACATATTAGGGGCAGCGTGCTTCAAAGGGGAATATCGACGCAGCCCATCGACATAACTGAATTAAAATACATTCGGAAGTCATGTTCGCTAATTGTGGGCGTCAGCCCTGCCAGCTTGACCAGCGAACCGTTGCTGCCTAACGGGCTGTCAGGGCTGAGCCATTTGCCCTCTTGCGGATTTTGATCGTGGTAAACTACGTGCCAACCAGACTAAATCACTGCTTGTCCTTCAAGGTCCTTCGTACACATCCACTGGAAATTAAATGGATTTTGCTACCCTCTGGCCCAGGAATCGAAGGAACGTAGTTACGTTGGACCATACCCGGGACGGAATACGGTCTCACGAGGCTTGTGCTTATGTATGGCGGAGAAAGAGGCATCATTGGAGCGGAGTGAGCAAGGGTTGATTTCCGGGATAGCGAGTTTTTTTTTTTTCTTGTGTAAATCCTTACTCGCATCGAAGCATCTCGCTTATGGCGAGGCAGCACATCACCCCAGGTCGAGCCTTGGGGATTATCCAGCCTCCGGGCCGCTCCCTGCCCCGTATTTACGTACATGACCGATACTTACCCCAAAGTGCGCATGGAAAACAACCCCAAAAGGAGATCACAAAGAAATGAACGAAAAGAAAAAAGTAATTCCCGCCGCCATCAC